AATTGTCAGGATAGCTGTCCTTGCTTTGAAGGTTCTGTCAGAGGAAAATCCTAAAAATTTCTTTGCCTTTAGTAATCTTAGTTTCATAAAACTGTTGCCTAGATAGGGGTTCATTTTTATTGTTTTGGATTACTTGGGATTTTGAATCTGTGGAGTAGTGTTCTTCATCAGTTTTAGACAATTCTCAGCCTTTATAGCTTCAGATGATCTCTCTGCTTCTCTGGGACACCAATCAAACATATACTGGACTTCTTGAGTACCCTCCCTGCAGCTTACCCTTTCCTCCGTATTTTCTTTTTCCTCTTTGCTGCATTCTGCAGCAAACAACAACAACAACAACAACAACAAATTGTTCTGTGATACAATTCCCTTCAGCTTTGTTCAACTGTACTTTAAATTTTATTTTTCATTTCTAGAAATTACATTTGGTGTTCAAATTTGCTCTACCATTATTTTTAGTATCCCATTCTATTTTCAAGCACATCTTATATTTTAAAAATTGTACTAATTTGCATTTTACAGTCTGTATTTGATCACTCCAGATCTGTTTTCTTTGTAGGACAGTGGGCTGTCTTTGCTTTTGAGGGTTATCACCAGTGGTGTGGGGTCCTTGTTTGCTTATTGACTGTGTGCTGCTCATAGTTCTTGAAAAAATTATTGATGTGGTTTCACCATGATGTAGGGGAAAGACTGCTTATTCCACAAATGGGATTTGCTTCTACCAGGCACTTGGGATTCTATATCTGGAACCACTTTAATTATGACCTGGGTGTCCTCCTCTCCACTCTAGCAATACAAATTTGGGCTTTAATTCTGCTCAAGAGTTGATACTTGATCTAGTTTCTAGGGCCCCAATAAAGAGTCTACCAGACTTCTTAACTTAGGTGGGGCCTAGTCATCTACTTCTTTCTTGTCCTGAAAAGCTATCTAAAATTATAGCTTGATCAGCAATTGCTCCTAGGTCCAAAGTGGCTTGAAACAACTTTCTAGGTTCTTATCACGTCTTGGATTTTGGCCTGATCATTCTTCATTATTGTTAACTCTTGTTAAGATTTTTAAAATATTTTACCTAGCGTTTTCATTGCACTCATAAGGAGCATTGCCCCTAAAATGTAGCCTATTATGCAAGTAGCAGAAATCAAGATCTTTGCTTGGTTCTTCAGTCCTATGTTTATAGGCATGCTTTAATCCTATTTAGGATGCATTATTATTTGTTGTGCTATGGATTCATGTTTATCAACGCTGGGAATTTTCCAGTTCCGCTTAAAACATTGTCCCTTCTCCATTCTCTTCATTTACTTAATATAAGGAAGTATATTAGACATTCTCATTCCATTCTCCATATCGCCTACCTTTTGTTTCATACAGTCCTTCTCTTTATCTCTTGGCCGTCTTCTAGGTAAGTTATTTAAATATAACTTCAGGTTTAAATCGCTTCAATTATATCTAGATCATTTTCGACTTATCCATTGAGTTCTTGATTTCAGTGTCTTTTTCACTTTTAATGTTGACCTTGATAGTCTGCTTATTCCTTCTTGTGTGCTCATCTTTGTAATTATAGCTAGTCTGCATTTTATTTCCAACGATTGGAATGTATGAAGTCCTTGATGGTATAAAGCTATTTCCATGTTTCTCTTACCAATCATAGTGACTAGTCTTAAACATTTGGCAATCATCATCAGGTAATTCTATGGGAGTTCCCTAGGTCTAACTT